AACCACAAATAGTAGTTTCCATTTTCTTTTCCATTATCCCAATATAACCCCAACCCTAAACCTTAAACTTTAAACTCTAAATTGTACTTTTCCATTACCCCAACATAACTCTAAACCCTAAACCACAAATAGTAGTTTCCATTTTCTTTTCCATTATTGCCAATAATATACCCCTAATATATACCCTATTATACTATCGTAGTTTCCATTTTCTTTTCCATTATCTCAATATAACCCCAATATGTCCTCAGTAGTTTCCATTTTCTTTTCCATTATTGCCAATATTACCCATCACAACCCTAAACCCTAAACCCTAAACACTAAACCCCTAAACCCTAAACCCTAAACCCCTAAACCCTAAACCCCTAACCCCTAAACCCCTAAACCCTCCTCCGTGTAGGCCACCAGTGCTTGCGCCTCTACTGGTGCAAGACTTGCCTCACCAGACAGCCATGATGCTGACAGGGTGCTCCTGGCCAGAATAGGGATTTTATAGGGATTACAGCGGGAAACTACTGTTTAGGGTTTAGGCTTTAGGGTTGGGGTTATCTTGGGATAATGGAGAAGAGAATGGAAACCACTACATAATGTTACATAGTATATTGGGGTTTTTATATTGGGATAGTGGAAAATAAAATGGGAACTTCTATGTAGGGCTTAGGGTTGCGCCTTCTCCAACCGAGCAATGGTACACACAGCGCGACATCATGCAGGCTTGTGGAATGCGCATACTCTTAGATTCGAGATCCAAAGAACCTCTGACTTGCATGACGGCTTCGTACTTCACAGAGGCCTGTGCTCATCACTTGCTGGAGATACACGCCCAATCCTCCCTATACCAAATACTGGCAGTCACATGTCCTCGGCCTGCTGGCTGTAAAGAAAAAGCGGGGCTATTAGTGCGGTTGTGCTCGACATCTTGTGCTGGGAGGACAGTCTTGCACTACGGCTGCCCAGCCTAGGTCGCTTTTGTTTCGCTTCTCCATGCCCATGTTTCAGCAATTACGTTATAGTAGAGCTGATACATGTGCCCTGAATTCTGTTGTAACTCAGGTCAGCCAGTTGCTGGATGAAGCTATAGCGAATGAGCGCTTACCAGGAGTAGCAGGGATCGTGAGCCTTGGTACAATAAGAAGTCCTGATAATGCCAGGCCGGTCTTCTTGAATGACAACCTTGGCTTTTCAGGTTACTCTCCAGTATGCCACTGTTGAAGAACCGCTTCGTCCCGTGATAACCCTGGTAATGATAAACAGATTCTCAAGTTTTTTGGGATTTGTTGTCACGGATTCGAAGAAATGTTTCTTGGAATGATGGCTTGAGGCTGAGGACTTGTGAAGGCATGTACGTCGTTGCTCGTCGGCTGCTCATTTTGAATTGGCAGGAAAAGCAGCCGATCTCTACGCACGATCTGCTGAATCATTTCTTGGAGATCCGGGTTTTCTGCAGATGAAACTAGACAAATCAACTCAATCCAACAGCGCGTCGTAGTGCAGCCAGATAGCCTCGAAGAGTGGCACCTCAATAAAGTGGCCTTTGGATAGCTGGAAATGGAGGAATGGAAAAGAAAATGGAAACTACCAGAATGGGCTATATAGGGACTACTATAAGGATCCATTCCTTCATTCCTAGACAACCAAAAGCCAGCTAAACCAGCAAGCTTTATAGCGCAGGCTGTCCGTTTCAGATCTGCTTGTTCCGACCCTTAACCCTCAACCCTGAACCTTGAACCCTCAACCCTAAACCCTGAACCCTAAACCCTGAGCCCTGAACCCTGAACCATAAGCCCTAAACCGCATGCTCCCACCTGGACCTCCGTAAAGTTGCCAGCGTCCGTCGGCACGAAACGCACGATGGAGCCGCAGAGGCGGCCCTGAACAATACCTGGCGTTTAGAGACATTACTATTTTATTAGTGTTAATATCAATATTATATCATTCTTATTGGTATTAGTATTCTATTTGTTGTTATTACCAGCAACCCCAACAACTGGCGTGTTCCAATTCAATAAATAGACATAGAGAGCTTTCTCAATCCTTAGCTGCTTGCATAGATCAGACTCTCCTGCCAAGAAGCGTAGGAGCCCTAGAAGGCCCCATGGGAAAGCGCCAGCCAGGACATAGAAGCCTCCATCAACGCAAGCGTGTGATTCACACATAGAGGCTGCGCGCGCCAACATGCATAGAAATCAGACATGTGTTGCGGACAAAAGTGCAAATTTTGGTCTTGGGTTATAGTCACAGACCCCGTTCTAGATAGTTAACTTCAATACAAAACTGGCTCTTGGAGGGCCGTCCTTCCAAAGGCATCCACTGCTCCAGCGCCCGGTACAGCCCTGGCGCAGAGCAACAAGAACCTCTCCAGCTACGTCCTTACATAAGTCTGACAAAGGCAAGTTAGTCCGAGAGCTGACAACTTACGGATCACCATGCATGCTGTCCGAACTACTGTGTCCACGTGTTGCTTTGATTTGCAGAATATAGTAACTTAATTTAAGTTCCTCAAATCCCAGTATTCCCCCAGCTTCCATTTCATTTTCCATTTTCTTTTCCATTTGATTCTCCATTATAGGGGGATAATCCCTTAATTCAAGTGCAAGAATACTAATAATAACAATAATACTAATGGTAATAATAGTAGTAATAATATTACTAATAACAATAATACTACAGATGAATGCAACCACTCCGGCTCCTTTTGCTGATAGCTTCGGCCACTCCCTCAGTCTCTCGTCCGTTGCATACCAATACCTGGGATTATCCCCCTATAATGGAGAATCAAATGGAAAAGAAAATGGAAAATGAAATGGAAACTGGGGGAATATAGGGATTTAAGGAACTTAACTTCAGCAAGACCAGGCAGGCTTAGCGACTGCTCATGAACCTCTGTCCGGCTTACTTGAGTAGCGTTTTTTTGGTGGTTGAACCTAGTAAGGTTATATTCCTTATATAAGATACTATACCCCAAAAGGAGGATATAATCTTACTCTATATTGGGTACCATAGTATCCCCAAAGAAAGCACTACTCACTTGAGTGGGTATGACTTTTCCTTCTCACTTGGCAGGTGCTGCTGGCAGTTCTGCATCCACGGGATTGAAAACTCAAAGACAAGTGCGGCTTGGGCTTGCGCTACACAAACCCCAGAAAACCCTAAACCCTAAACCCTAAACCCCAGAAAGAGTTTTGAACAAGGATTGTAGCTACTGGAGGTTCTGAAGTGCAGATGCAGCAGTACTATAGTATACCATAATATACTATAAAATACTAGAATATACTATAATGTATCATCATAGCCTATACTATACTACTAAGCAGACCTGCATTTTGGGAGGCAAGAACTTTGGGAGGCAAGGACTTCTTTGCGTTGGATATGGGGTTCAGCACTGCAGGACGCAATCTGACAAGGCAACTGCAGAAGAGCAAAACGCGATAATTGGAAGTGTGTAGCATGCTTGGAAGAGGGAAGGTTACTGGCAAGTACCACAGCTGGCACAGACCTTTCATCTTCCCTCAAATTGGTTGAACATGTTGGCATGGCTGATTGGGTTGCTGCAAGGATTCCTCATCCCCTGCTTACTGTCCGGCTTTGCGGAAGGTCCCCCTATATAACCCCTATATAATCCCTATCATCCCTGTAGTTTCCATTTTCTTTCCATTGTCCCAATATTATCCCAACATCACAACCGAAACAAAGATAGACACACCAGGACAAGACCTTTCGGCAAGAACTTACAGATGAAGGCGCCGCTGGCAAAGGTGCCACCATGCACTGTCCTTGCATGCTATTGTAGCACATTATTATAGTATATTCTTATTATACATCCTAATAGTATGTCATTATAGTATATTATGGTAAGATAGTATATTATAAAAATCGTATGTTATAGTATATTATAGTAATGGTTTCCGAAACTCAGCCTGCATCTAATTGAGGATTCGGCCTGATCGAGGGTCCCTGTGAGGTCTTTGCACACCGCACCTCGTCTGCTGGGTTGCTGTTCAGGAACTTAACTTAAGTAGAGGTTTAGGGTTTAGGGGTTTCTATATTATCCCCCTATAATGGAGATTCAAATTGAAAATCGAACGGGACATGAAATGGACACTGGGGGAACATAGGGATTTGAGAAACTTAATCTAGATTACTGTTTTGGGGAAACCTTATTACTTACCAACTACACCCATTATGGTAACTTAATTTCAATTCCTTAGCAGCAACCCACTCTTCCATCCCTAGCTTCTCTCCCTAAGAAAGACTTCAGGAAGTACTGGGTTCCCAGAGCCCCTAAAGGATCCAAAACATGGACCCCCGCCCCCCAATAGTCCCCTAGTTTCCTCAACGTAGTAATGAGGGTCATTTTGGCGGGTTCCACTTTTTGGATCCTTTAGGCGGTCTGGGTTAATAATTAGATCTAAATATGCTAAGTCCGAGGTGCCAAAGGACAGTAGACGCCGCGAGTCGTGCGTGATGTAGGAGAGGATTTCCACCAGAACATGGGGTGGAAGCGAAGGCAAAGATCTGAGCAAGCTCTCGTTTTGATTCCACTCTACAACACCCTAGGGCTCCAGTTACCTAAATAACGGGAACTGCGTTCTATAAACCCTATAGTTACATTGCCTAATAACCTACTATTTAGGCAACTGGGAGCCCTAGGGACAACTACTCCTGAGAAAATCTCACGAGATGGTGCTGGCAGCACGCACCACGATGTCTCTGACCAGATTGCTCTGCGGCTAAGCGGCGCATTTGCCATCAGGATACCTGAGTTCCAAAGTGCAGGGTGTTGGAAGTTGGCAACCCGCGTCTGCCGGCCAAGAAGCGAAAAGTTTCACCGGTGGCATCTCCATCTGGTTTGGGCAACTAGAGCAGGCATGTAAATTCAGCTTGAACCAAAGCCCACAGCATTCATGGACTTGACAAGGGTCTCGAAGACAGAAAAAACACACACAGAAAGCAGAGCGCTCTACTTGATCCATGTGCTTGAATGTCCTTGAGGCTTGAACTGCTATCATGTTCAGATAGAAGAGCAAGATCAAGCCAGCACCGAAGAGAGGCGTGATGTCATACCTGTGCGGAGGAAGCAAACATTGGTAAGTACACAGCGCATGCACTTATTGAAGAAGCATACTGCGTCGGCTGTGAAATGCTTTTCATGCCAACGTCCTGTACCACTTATCGAGCACATAGCATGTCCAGCCAGGCCAAAAAAGGTGGAAAGGGTGTGGAAAAGCCCGACGACCGAGCGCGACACACGGGCATCAGCTGGACATCCTTCAAGAAAGCCCGGCACCTGATGGATAACATTTGAGTTATAGTCTAAGCTCCTAGTATCCCCCGCAATAGCCCCTAGAGTAGTTCCCTATATACTCCCTTATATTATCCCTCTTTAAAGGAATTTAGAGTATAGCTCATTTGGCTTCCCACGAGGCTTCCTGGCGTTGCGGCATCTAAAGAGATCAGAGAAAAAGCTCAAACCCAGAAAAAGGGCAACCTCAGCCTCACGCAAGTACACTGCAGAGGTTGTAAAGTTTGCCAGCTCGGCAACCTTGTCCCCAAATCCTTTGCAGAAGTGATCCTCTTGCCAGATTCCTGCACTCGAAGCCACACCCATCGTGGCCTACATTGAAGGCCATCACGAAGCCGACGAGCGCTACCCCAAACATGATAAGAAATGGCAGGAACCTCCAGCGAACTGAGATGTTGGATCAGAAGTTGGATTGAAGCATTCAACAGCTGCTGTATGAGGACCAGCGGTCCTTACGCGAGGCTCAGGCAAATCGAAGGCTGTCCAGACCGTTCGGATCAGGTTCTGCGATAGTGAGAATCACTTGCATGGAATCACAAGGGATGGCATGAGCAATAACGTCAAACTACGCGGCACAGGACAAAATTGTTTAGCCCCAGTGCCTACTATTGAGAACAAGTTTGTATCCTGTGGGGCAGTTGGGTTCTTAATGACAGACATCTTGGCGCATCCATCGCGGCAACTGCAGCTTTCCATGAAAATCACGCAGCTCTCAACCCTAAACCCTAAACCCTAAAACCCTAAACCTAAAACCCTAAACCCTAAATCCTAAACCCTAAACCCTAAACCCCTACCTTCACCAAGGGCAGATGCCGCAGGTACTTCGTCACTTTGCCCCATAGCAGCACCTGCGAGCCAAGAACGAATCATCACGGGGACTTCCTGCCTTGCTATAATAGGGTTTAGGGTTTAGGGGGTTTAGGGTTTCGGGATTATAAGATACTATAATGTACTATGGTAATATACTCTGGTAATATACTCTAATAATGTACTAGATTGATAAACCGTAGTAAGAGCCGCAAGTCCAACGCATCAGATGTGGCCCTGGCACAATTGAATGCATTGAGCACGCGCACCTCGCAGTCACACAACTGCTTCCGCACTGCATGGTAGCACACTTTATTTCGATTTGCAGAAGCAGAGATATTGTAGGCTTTAGGCATCGGTTGATAAGCTGCAATTCAAGCTTGGACTTGACCTTGTCTCAGCTGAGTGTTGGGCTGTAGTGGCTGCACTGGCCAAGGCTGAAATATTTTGGAAAGAATCCTTGGCCACGTGATTCACAGGCTCTGCTGTGAACAGCTTGATGTGTCGGATCAAGCTTGGACCATGATGCTGTGAAAGCAGCCGCCCCACATGCCCCATCTTTGCACAACTCAGCGAGGCACCATGTTGGTCAACTGCTCAAGGCCAACGTTGGCATTGGCTGCCTGAACTGCTGGGACCCCGTTCATGAACGACGTGTGCCAGACTTAGGTCATGCAGCAATCTGTTGCGAGCGCAGGAAGCTGGGCACAGCCAGCTAAGACCAAACCCTGAAGTTCAAAGCATGCCAGTCAGACGTCTGAGAAGAGCAACATGCGCAAGGTGAAGCCAACGAGCAGCAAAATCATGTTCACCTGACGGCTGGCGAGCACCATCCATAACAGGTAAGCGTCAAGCTCACGCTAGCAGCAAGAAGCTCAAATGAGCGCAGGCACCCAATCGAGGAGATTCCATGCGTCCTCAGCAAATCTCCACATCTGCGCATCTGCATGTGACGCTGCATGCACATCTCTGTTCTGATGCGGCTAAATCTGAAGATTCCTATGTCGTTCATGCGGGTTGTCAAAATTATGGTCCTTTTTTGGGTGCCCCAGATATTGGGTGCCGTATTATAATAGGGATCCAAAAAGGGACCATCATTTTGACAACCACCCATGTACAGTGTACAGATCTGGTCTCCAACTATGGAGTGTGCGCACGGCAACCGCCGATAATCATGATGGTCGTAATATGCAGACATTGGCAGAGACGGGATGCGCATAAAGTTCTCCGGGTTATTTTGGGGCTATATTGGGATAATGGAAAACAAAATGGAAACTACTATATAGTATATTGGGGTTATATAGGGATAATGGAAAAGAAAAAGCAAACTACTGCATAGTATATTGGGGATAGATAGAGGGTTCAGGGTTTAGGAGTAGGGCTCAGCAAGCCAACAGCAGTAGTGCAAACAGACCTGGCAACAGGGATGGATTCGACAGGCTGGCATTCTATCTGCTGCCATCAATTTCCGGTTCTCAACTATAGCTTGGGTCCTGCCCCCACCCAGCAACAGCTGGATAATGTTTATATCATGGCTATATATAGCCCTTAATATTACACCTATTATAGGCTGTTACAGGATCCAAACTATAGCTTCTTTCCCCAGTTACCAGATATCTCTATCGCAAGTCACAGCTCTCTAAACATTGCCCGCCAAAACATGGCTGGCAGCCTTTGCAATTTGGGACCAAACTGAGCCGCACGCGAAAAAGTAGGTGCGCCAGCTACCATAAAGTTCCTGAATCTCCTGCACTCTATAGTTATGTAATTATGTAATATTATAGTATACTATTAGAGTATATTATCATAGTATATTAATATAATTCATTATAGTAAATTATTACAGAATATTGTTGGAGATTATCGTATATCATCATTTAGGAGGACCCCCCACCCTGTAATAGTGGTAGAATAGGAATATAAGAGGACCCGAATATAGTCCTTATTATCCATAATAGTAACTATTACTGGGTTGGGGGGTCCACCCAAATTATCATGGTAACAATTGAAGCCTGAAGGTGCCGGTGCTGTCTACGTGCAGATGTCTACCTCTCAGCCGCCTCGAAGATGAACTGCACCACGAAGATCATAACGAGGATCAGCAACACAAAAGCTAGCCTTGTCTCGTGTCCATTCGCGTGCGGTTTAAACTGATTATACTAGAATCTACTATAACGTACTATAATATACTATAATATGCTATAATATACTACTACATATTATAACAAACTATAATTACGTATATACTATAGTTTAGAGAGTGTTGCAAGACTGCCACTCCTTGGGCTAGGGCCAGTCCGTCACTGTGCCAAGGCCGCCCACGGTCTGAGAAGTGTGAGCGAGAGGGCTTTTTTTGCCAATATACTATACTATAATAGTTTCCATTTTCTTTTCCATTATCCCAATATTATCCCAATAATTATTAGCTCAATGTCGGGGTTATGTATTGGGATTATGGAGAAGAAAATGGAAACTACATGGGTTATAGGGATTTTATGACTTTCTACTGCTGTGACACCACAAGTTGTTGGCATAATGGAACATAAAATTGAAATTACTATATTAGACGGTATATGTTGGGGTTATATTGGGATAATGCAAACGAAAATGGAAACTACTTGAAAGTTCTGCCGCGCTGCCTTGCAAACAGAGTAAGTTCCAGGCGAGCACGCGCTCCGTCATGGTGGCAATCACAATCTGGCAAAAGGCTTTCAAACAGCAACATGAGCAAGCCAGTAAGGAACTTAATCTAAGTTACTGTATTGGGGAAAGCTTATTAATTACTGTATATACCATATGGTAAGTTAATTTAAGTTCCTTAACAGCAACCCAGATTACTTGAATCGCCAGCGCCTCTTGCGACGTTCCCCCACTAGCACCGAACTCCACCACAAAGGTAACGACAGCATACCTGCCAGCGCGCAGCGGCATGCATGACCCAAAGCCTCGCGATGAGGACTCCAAAGCCGTAGGGATTTAAGGATATTGGGGTTGTATAGGGATAATGGAAAAGAAAATGGAAACAACTATGATGGGGTTATATAGGGTTTAGGGTTTAGGGTCCAGGGTCACAAGCCGATGTTCGAGTTCCAGATGTTGAACTCGGCAAAGAAGGCGCGCGTGGCTGCATCCAGGAAGCCCTTGGGAGACAAGTTCCATGTCGTGGCTGCAGCGAAATACCCTGCGGCCCCTGATCTGCATTTTCAAGCTTCATCACGATCTGGGTTCTAGACGTCGGCTTTTAGCTGCTGGATTTGCTGCGTAGCCTCACGCCGCAAACGAGAGAAGCCACACATTGCTTCCAAAAAGTACATGGCACCAAAATGAAGTCTCCTGGAGAATGGAGGCTGTTGGAACATGACTCGACTGGGTTGCTGTTAAGGAACTTAATTTAAGTACTGATCTGGGGAAACCCTATTAATCACTATATATATATATATATCTACCAATTATGGTAACTCAATGTAAGTTCCTTAACAGCAACCCACTCGAATGATTGGGGCCGAGCCTGTGTGTTGTTGGATGCGAGTCGCTCAATGAAACCGTTCGAAGTGTACCTGGAGCCAGATTTGGGTTGTGATGGCTCGGATCTTGTGTACATGCTCCCAACGTGTTGGGCAACATTACGTAGGGAAACCTCCAATTATCCATCAGTTGCCGCTGGTGGGTAGGGGGCCAAATCAGCGAAACAACCATCGAACTGTGCAAATGGGTCCTGGATAGGTAGCTAAGCATCAGCCAGTCCTAGCTGCAAGATCACCCAATCCACCAATGCGCACGATCCCAGCGAGCCAGTGTAGTCGATTCCCGTAATGTCTTCTGTAAAGGTGAACCTGTCCAGAACTGGGTTGCTCTTTAGGGTTTAGGGTGTTTAGGGTTTAGGGTTGCTGTTAATGAACTTGAATGAAGTCACCATAATGAAAATATGTGTGTATATATATATATAGTAAATGATGGGGTTTCCCCATCTAGTAACTTAAATTAAGTTCCCTGAGAGCAACCCAGAGAATCAACGCGCAATGAGCGGCGGGTCCCTGCAAGGCGTCAGCAGCAGCTTGTGCAAGCGACAGTATTGGGGTTGTATAGGGATAATAATGGAAAAGAAAATGGAGACTACTATGGTATAACAGGGTTATATAGGGATTACGTTGGGTTATATTGGTGTCATGGAACATAAAACGGAAATTTCTAGATTTATAGGATCCCTTTGTCTTAATTTTAGCACTTGCTCCCATCTTGCAGCACATTCTAATGATGCCTGTTTGTATGCAGGACGCACGAGACATTAGCTTCATGCCCTGTCATTGGTGGCCTACCGATGCACGACACTAACCCGACTGAATCGGACCTCTCTTGCGGGCCGTAGGCCGTTGTGCTGGCGGTACCTGTCGCCATGATTAAGTTCGCGAGATCATGGGCCTGGGAGGTCTTTCAGCTGGGGGTAATACAGGGATAATGGAAAAGAAAATGGAAACTACTCTACTGGGTTATATTGGGATAATATGTGCAGTACTCTGAACAGAAGAATGTGCACCACAGAGCCACAGCTGTTGCATTCCCGGCCTGGGCTGTAGTTGGGATAGCAGCTAACCTGCAGGATTTCAACCACAGCACAGCTTCAGGCTAACCCAAATATAACCCATTAGAGTAGTTTCCATCTTCTTTTCCATTATCCCAATATAACCCCAATATACTACGAGTATATAGTAGTTTCCATTTTCTTTGGGACAGATTTGTGCCGCAGTCGGCTCGGGCATCCTTCCGGTTCCGCATCGGATCGGAGGGAGACTCTTGAATCAAACTCTGGCCCGTGTGAAGATGATTTGGGAATTTTGAGAGCTTAAAACAATCAGCTGGCTCCAAAGCACGAGTAGATCTTAAGCATGTGGGCTTTCCAACTCGTTTAAGGGCGCCATTCTTGCAGAAGCTTCCACCCTCTGGTAGGAAAGGGATGGTAACTCACTGCTGCAGCATCATAATGCAAAGTGGACTTTCTGTCCGTGGCACTGTCGACACTGTGGTTCGAAGCTACAAGAACTGGCCAATCATCTGAGTAGTGTGTTTTTTGGTGGTTGAACCTAGTAAGATAATATTCCTTATATAGAATACTGTACCCCAAATTGGGTACCATAGTATCCCCAAATAAAATACTACTCATCTGTAGAGGCAGATCACACAAGGCTTGCTTTGTTGAAGCTAAGTTCTGCGCCGAATACTGCTCGAAGAGCGGAAGCACCTGCAGATCACATTTGGGACAGCTATGAAATTCCACATGAGCTTGGCTGAATGTGGGATCTATAGCGCAGCTGCTCCGCAACGCCATGCCCAGAAAGCATCCTCACACGCGGTCTTAAACCCTATAGTATCCATTTTCTTTTCCATTATCCCTATAATCCCTATATGATCCCGAAATAATCCCTACGTAATCCCTATAATGTCCCTATATACTCCCTATGATGTCCCTGTAATATCTCTATATATTATAACCCCTATATCCCCATGATGCCCCGGCCTGGCAGTTCTCCTGGAGGTTCACTCGAACCTCTCACAGATGCGGAAGCAAAGCCTCCCCTTGCTAAACAGCCCAGGTCCTCGATGATTCCAGAAATGGTAGCTTCCCAAAATAGATGGTTCAGGGTTTAGTTTTTTCTTTACAACCCTTCAGTCGTTGTTTTTTGTAGGGTTTGGGGAGGTGAACGTAGACCACAATATATTATAGTCCTTATTATTGGGACCCCCAGAATGGTACCCCTACCAACCCCCAAATCCCCCAAATCTCCCACCCTAAACCCTAAACCCCTAAACCTTAGGAGGGCTTGCCTGACGAAGTTGGACGGTTCCCAACATCCTGTTTGCGATGTCCAACGGCCGCAGGTACCTGCAGTGAGGTGATACTGCAGGATGCCTGACTGGGGCTTTGGCTGGCTTGGCAAACTACTATAGCAGATTGGGGTTATGTAGGGGTTAAATTGGGGTTATATTGGGGTATATATGGGGTTATATTGGGGTTATCTTAGGGTTATATTGGGGAAATAACAATGGAAAATAAAATGGAAACTACTATAGTATAATAGGGTATATATAGGGGATATGTAGGGATAATGGAAAACAAAATGGAAACTACTATGGTAGATTGGGGTTATATAAGGAAAATGGAAAAGAACGTAGAAACTACCGTAGTGTATTGGGGTTATATGGGGATTATGGAAAATAAAGTGGAAGCTACTATAGGGGTATGGGAATTATGCAAAGAGCTGGCAACTTTTTCGTGGGCGTGAAGAAGAGACCCTGGCATAGAGATGCCCTCTGCAAGCTGGATGTCAGTGGAATTCTGGTAGAGCGCAGGGACGAACACCTTTGCAGCTCGAAGTGCATGCTAACAGTTAGCACGGAAGCCCTGCCTCCTCCAGGTAGTCATAAAGCGTATCCACGTTGGTAATCCGCGTGATCGGATGATGCGTGGGGTTCAGCTTCTGCAAGGAATGTGGAGAACAAAGTCTTGTTGCTGCTGGCTTGGCAGATCTCACACTGCAAAACGTAGCAGGTTAATCTGCCCGAGCAGAGATGAAAGGCAGGTGCTCTGAAGCTGAGAGGGAACCGATGTTCCAATCCAAAAAAGTGTGACCACAACCTGATGCTCAAGACTGTTCTGGATGTGTATTACTATATGCGCTATTGTGAAAAGCCCATAGTGAAAACAAACATAGAAAGAACAACCAGCCCGCCGCCCCCCCCCCCGGCCATGCGAATGTGGTCACTCAGTCGCGAAGTGGCCACTGACCTCGGGCGCAGACATGGGGCTTCTCTCGTGCTGCTCTCACTCCCAGGACGTGGATTTTTGGACTTGCAGCTGAATTTAAAAAAGAATACTATTGAACGCACTCGCAAGCCACAGAACTGACCAGTCTGAGAGTCTTGCTGGTTCAGCAGCATGGCTAACGAGAAGGTTAAAAGGAACAGGAAGAACTCTGTGATGGAGCCACCTTGCAAGATACCCGTCAATTGACTGTAAGGGCTGCAGTCATACAGTGCTAAGTCAAAGCAGGACATTCATCCCCCCCAGATCATGCGTTGTCCTCCTAAATTACATCTGATAGGGAAAACTTCCTTGGTTACCACCTCTTTGCAGCATCGAATTTTCAAGGCTCAGGGAAGCGGCAATAGGATTCCACAACTGAGACGCGCACAGAGCCTGAGATTCTCACCTGGGGGCAGGTGAGCGTCCATGACAGCACAACGCTGCAAGCAGTTTCAGAAGACTTCTCCTTAGCCATTAGTCCTCATCACTTATGCTCCCAACGCATCCCTGCCCGCCTTTTATCCTTTCTCGCTTGGTGTTCGGGGTCTCGATGCTGCGAGTGTCTTCGTCAGTGCCATCGCCCCTTGGCAGGGAGCGCGCATTCGCTGAGCCGGATTCTGGCAGGATTCGGCTTTCATAAAGATATTTGCAGGGCGACACTTACTTCAATCTACGTCTCAATGAATATGATGTCTATATTCCTATACCAACAGTTAGTTGGGCAGGGCCGTTCCCGTCTTCGGCTAGAGCGGCAGACGAGAAACATCGAGAAATATTTTATTGAGGCTTGCAGCCTAGAGCCACGAACGGTACATCCCGCGTCTCAAGATGCAAGATCGACTTACATTCATGAGGGTTATATTGGGGTTATATTGGGGTTATATTGGGGTTATATTAGGGCTATATTAGGGTTATATTGGGGAAATACTGGGGCTATATTAGGGTTATATTGGGGTTATACACCCACTTGCAGGGATGTGAAGAGCTATCGAAGTCTCTATTCTGGGTGTTGATGTTGAAGCTAGATGAGCCATAGTCTAAACTCTTAGTATCCCCCCTAATATCCCCTATAGTAGTCCCCCTATATTATCCCCTATATAACCCCCTTTAAGGAGTTTAGACTACAGCTCAGATGGAGTATCTACCACGGCATGGCTGGACTTGAAGGTGGTGCTGGGTTTCCCACCCCGCCGCTTCATATGGAACCTGAGCCAGATGTGGATTTCCCAAAATTGGGGCTACCTTTTGCAGAGTTCCTATAATGAGGATTATAGTAGTTCGGGGTCTATATTGGGGTCCCCTGATTTTGGGAAACTACCCTGTTGCTTTGTGCCTGCTAGTCAGCTATTTCAATGCAGTCTGCTCTAGACATCAGTTGAATCCGGCTTCGGGATGACGATAGCTGGCACAACTTGGGAAATTACATTAGGGTTTAGGGTTTAGGGTTTAGGGTATGAGAGTATGCGCACAAAAACGAGTATCTCCAACAGAATGGAATGAGGAGGATGTTAACCTTTTCCGATTCTTTGCACGACGTGTGGAAAGATGTCTTTAAATGTCTTTGGAATACAGGGTTTATATAGGGATAATGGAAAAGAAAATGGAAGCTTCAATAGTATATAGGGGTTATAAAGGGATAATGGAAACACCTCATCGAGCCCCGATGGGCAGAGTTTGAAGTAGGAAGCGTACAAATCCAAATACAACTCCTACCAGCATCGTCCAAGGCGTGCTCCATAACGCCCTGCTTGACATCCTTCTTCTCTCCTCCACCCTTCATCGTGCCTGGTGCGCACACAGTAAGCGCATGCCCATCTAATGTCCGGCCTCAAAAGGGTTAAGCAGAAGCCTAGGCTGCTGAATCACCCAACATAGCTACCTCTCATGATGAGCTGAAGGCCATCCTGCCTGAGATTCTCTCATGCAGCTCTTGAGCAGCTGTGACTTGGAAATGCTACAGTACATCAGGGGTTGTCACGAAGACTGACCGATGCGAACTGAGCCACTGACACCCCCAGAAATCGGCACGCGATTTGGTGGGCAAGTCCTTTACAAACTAGCTGCGGGCGGGCGAGGTAGGGGCTTGCGCATATGAACCAGGCAAACTTTGCGGCTTAGAGGTAGCAAGAGTAATCAACAAATGATCGTGCTGTACTGGTGCCGACGTTTTTCTCCATGCAAGTCCAATCAATGAAGCAGCGCATGCCCTTTGAGCAAATGATTGCTGATGCGCAGCTCACTACGAAAAGGCGCTGACAACTGCTAGGTCAGGCCTCACGACATTTTAATTGCCCCCGCTTTCTGGCACATGCTTCTTGTCGGCGAGGCTGGCACGAAGCACCTCATACCAAACAAATTGAAGCAAGCAGGCCATCCGCCGCTTTTTCTTCCCACCGGAGCAGTGGTGATGGTGAGGGCTGGTAGGTCTGAGCTCAACACTGCTCGTTTAACCAACCGAGAATTTCGGGCCGTAGAGTACCACTTCTTTTTTTGTCCGGTTCGGCGCGTTCTTGTTGGGGTCTCTTTTGCTTTGCTTTACTCAGGCAAAGAATGCCCCTCGAAAGGTTTGGTCCTGATCATTTCATGAAATCGTCGTATGGTTCTCAGGCTAACTTTCCAGAAGTTGAGCACGTTGGGGACATGAGTTCTTCAAAATCAGAGCCGGTTCCTTGGAGCCTGATCATCCAAGATGACCAATGTTGGCCTACCCAGTTAGTTCCTTTCCCATTCCATGGCACTGTTTGCCCTCTGTGTCAGATTGATGCGGGATGTTCGTGGGGCTTGTTTTCAATCCAAAGAACTCTCTCTCTCCCTATCCTGATCTCCACCTCTTTTGCTTTGCTTTGCTTGGGGCCCAAGGCCTGAAGCCTCTGAAGAGGGAAGCGCACTCACAAACAAACAGTTGATCTCGGTAAAGTGACTGCGGGCTCCTCATTACCAACAAGTACTCAGACAGCGCCGCAAACTTAACCACCAAGAGTACTGAAACCTGGCCATCATTCAGGTTTCCCGTCCAAAGGTCCAGGGTGAATTCCACAACTGCACTCAGAAGGAAAGAATGTTCGCTCTGTTTTGCTTTGCTTGGGGTTAAAGGTGCGCTTCAATGCCCCCAACTCTCTTGCTCGAAGCTCATGGTGGCAATTGAACCGGGAAACTGTTCAGGATGGAGATGCGTTGAGTTAAACCTCAATCAACTTCATAAACGCGCAACAGGTAGTGAGGGTTTCCCATCGCTGTACCCCCTTTCAATCTGCGGTCTCCTCGTGATGAAACCCTATCTGAACAACATAAGAAGACTCTCTTCTGCTCTGGGTTATGAAGGATCCTAGCACTTACGCAGAACTTAGAAGCCGACGCCTCAGCATGACAACAGTTGACCACAGCAGTTGCACCAAGACAGTACCGACATGCAATATGCCACAACATGTGACCACCTTCTTGGCTACTTTCTACTGTGTGACATGCAGGAAGTGAAGAGTATGCTCTGAGGCCCAAGTTGCTCGCAAAAACTGGGTGCTCAGCGTCTGATTGCAAATTGAGCCATAGTCTAAACTCCTTGTATCCCCCTTGATATCCCCTATAATAGTCCCTATGTAATCCCATATATAACCCCCCTTTGAGGAGTTTAGACGAAAGCTAACTGTTTCCTGCCCAACCCTTAGGTTTGACGCTGAAGTCAGGGCACCATGTGGACGGGGCGATGGTCCGAAAACGTTGCAGACCTCCAGTGAAGGATGCTTCAGGGCTTCAAGCCTGCAACAGGTGGCGTTGCTTAGGAGGACCCCCCCCATCTTGTAATAGTAACTATAAGGGATAATAAAGGTTATATCAGGGCCCTCTTACATTCCTACTATACCATTATTACAGGTTGGGGGGCCCTCCTAAAGTATTGCTAGCTGTGATAAGATCGCCAGCGAGACTCCACGGATGAATAGGCAGCCGTGGTTACCTGTGACAAGACACCTTCCCTGCCCCATGCTCCCTGTGCATACCCAAGTTTCCATGTTCTTTTCCATTAGCCCTATATAACCACAATATACTATAGTAGTTTCCATTTTCTTTTCCATTATCCCAATACAACCCCAATATTATACCATAGTAGTTTCCATTTTCTTTTTCCATTATCCCAATATAAACCCTATAGAACCCCTATATAACTCCAATATAACCCCTATATAACCCTACATCACCCCTATATAACCCCTATATAACATTGGTAATTATCTAGGCCCCTATCAGGCGAACCTCCACCTCCGAGCCCTGCCGCCACAGGATTCGGTCACACCTTGCGGAGGCGATGATGTAAACTTAGGGTTTAGGTTTAGGGGTTAGGGTTTAGGGGTTTAGGTTTAGGGGTTTAGGTTTAGGGGTAATGGACAAGAAAATGGAAGCTACTATGGGGTTAGGGTGGACCCCCCACCCAGTAATAGTGACTATAGGGGATAATAAGGATTATATTAGGGTCCTCTTAAATTTCTGTTATACCACTATTACAGGGCGGGGGGTCCTCCTAAATGTAAACACATGGAAGCACTTCTGAAAGCTCCATTTTCCCTATATAGCGCCTACATTTATACCCCGATATCCCTATATAGCCCCTACATATACATACATATATATGGTAATATATATATATATATACCCTAATAACCTCAGACACTATAGTAGTTTCCATTTTCTTTTCCATTATCCCTATATAGCCCCTCAATCCTTCAACGCTCAGCATGCTGCCAGCCCGGCAAGCGCGGCTCATCCCGATCAAAGCGGAGGGCGGGAGCACCTCTCATCCCACGCCACCCTGGTAACAAGGTAGAAACATATGGAAATTTCCCAAAATAGGGGGACCTGAATATAGACCCCCAAAAAACTATACTCCATCACACAGGAACCCCCAAAAAGGTATCCCTAACTTTGGGAAACCCCCCATGTTGAAGTGAAGGACACTTGCCTTCTACAGGGCTCGCAGTGCCTTCAGCAGGTGCGCGCCTGTACCTCACTACTCGTCTGACAAGCCGAGACCTGTCCCAAAAATCCATTTTGGGGTCCCAACAGTAAGAGCTACAGTATGTTAGGGTCTATGTTTATGTTGGGGTCCCCCTGTTTTGGGAAACTACCAGGTCATTCAGCTGTGGTGAGCAGAAACACGCTTCAGATTGAGCTGCGCAGCAATCTTTTTTTCTCGATTTGTTGCTTGGTCGTTGTGGTCTGGTCCTGGGCCGTCGGTCCTGGGGTCGAGAAAGCCACGGCTGGATGCAGCTGCCGTATCAGCAGCCTCAGGCTCAACCCTAAACCCTAGATGGTAGTTTCCATTTTCTTTTCCATTATCCTTATATTAGCCCAATATATGCCCTAAAATCCCCATATAATCCTTACATAACCCTGGCTGTTTATGATAGTAGTTTCCATTTTCTTTTCCGTTATCTTTACACAGCAAGTCTGCCTTTCCATCGTGCTTCAGCGGACCCTTTCTGCGTTGCATGCCGTTCAGCTCCCGCACGTACTGCATATGGTGGTTTCCTAAAATTAGGGGTACCTTTTTGACAGTCCCCAAAATAAGGACTATAGTATTTTGGGGTCTATATTGGGGTCCCCCTATTTTGGGAAACTACAATATCCCTCGCCGCAGGCGTGAACTTGCAGCGCCCCTTCAAGTCCAAGCCACAGGCATTTTTACTAAATCCCTATATATCCGCATATACCCCTATAAACCCCTATAATCCCCTTTAAAGGTAGCTGAGAACTTGCCTCAAGACTAGATGTGGTTGGATACAAAGAGCGCTGTTCATACTCTACCTTGCTCGATGTTCCCAAAGGCAGGTATTCAAGGCTATGCAATGCCTGACTGCACCAAGAATTTGTCCAAGACACTGCATCTCTGCCGCTTTTCGCGTCAGGCCTCCTTGTGTCAGCAAGGAACTGCCTCGGCTCCAGGGTGCAGCCCTTAGGGTTTAGGGGTTTAGGGCTTAATTCTCCTCGGACCAGCCGATCAGAAACGAACGAAGCCTTTCCGAGAACAATCTGTGACTGCCTTCACTCAGTGTCGTTGAAGGCCCAGCTGCCCGACGCAGCATCATCATCCGGATGCACGTCTGCATCCTTGTCTGAATCCCATTCGTCGATCTCATCATCCTCATTCTGAAAGGAAAACACACAAAGCGAGCGCGTAGGATAGGAGGGCACATGACGACACATAGCAAGGCCTGAGATTCCCAACCTCGGTCATTCTCAAAGAAGTTCATCTGAGCCCTGGACTAAATTTGTAGTATATCCCTTAGTAGGTCTCCCCCAAAACCCTATATAGTCCTTATAGGCCCCCCCAAACCTAAATTTAGTCCGTAGCTCATCTGCTGATCTCAGCCAAGGCACAGCAATTGCCGAAACCACCTGCAGACGGTCAGCAGCTGAGGGCTCTGCCTGGCACTGTCCGAGGACATGTTCTTCCAGGTGCTATCTGGTAGTTTCCAAACACAAGGGACCCCGATATAGACCCCAAAATACTACAATCCTTGTTATTGGGGATCCCACAATATCATCCCTAAGTTGAGGAAACCCCAAATTCTGTATATAAGCCTCTATTTAATCCCAGTGTCCATTTCATTTTCCATAATCTTTTCCATTTGATTCTCCATCATTGGGGTAATCTCCCTAATTTGCGGAAACCCTAAGCCCTCAACAGTAGCTTCCATTTTCTATATCCCCTATATACCCTATTCAGATGTCAATTTTCCCAATATTAGCCCTATATAACCCCAATATATACCCTAGTATACTATAGTAGTTTCCATTTTCTTTTCCATTATCCCCTACATAACCCCAATATATACCCTAGTATACTATAGTAGTTTCCATTTTCTTTCCATTATTCCCTATATAACCCCAATATAACCCCTTTCTCATTTAAAGCAGGCCAACCTCCGGGGCCAAGCGTCGGCGCAGCGCTGCTCGGAGACCTGCCCTCGAAGAGGGAGCCTTTCTCTTGGCCTTTGCAGGCGTCACCTGTGCTCCTGTCGCAGGAGGTGCCAGCTCAATCAGGGTTTAGGGTTTAGGGTTTAGGGACAGGATAATGCAGACCCCTGATTTATAAACACCCTCCCTTTAATAGGGATTATAATAGGGATCCTACTATTAAGGCCCTTAAAGGGAGCGGGTTTACTAATCATGGGTCTATATTAGGATCCAAGACATACAAGTCTGAGATTATCCAACAATTTTCTGCTTGCTACCTGATCAACGTTTGAAACCACACTCGCGAAACATGGCCTGACCTCTCAGAAGCAAGTCTCACAAGCTGCCGAAGCGCCAGCAACACATCCAACCCTAAACCCTAAACCCCTAAACCCTAAACCCTAAACCCTAAACCCCTAAACCCTAAACCCTAAACCCTAAACCCCTAAACCCTAAACCCTAAACCCCCCCAAAAAAAAACAGAACCTGGTGCTGATTCGTCGCCTGCGAGGTTCGGCCTCAGGGGTCTCTAGGTAAGTAGGCAAGTCTTCTGGCCGCTTGCAACAGGGCTTTCAGGGTTTAGGGTTTCAGGGCTTCAGGGTTTAGGGTTTCAGGGTTCAAGAGCAGCCGCATACAGGCAATTCTTGTTTGGTCTCTATCCGTGCCTCTCTCCCGGGAGGGAGCCTCAAACATTTGTTAAACTAGGAGCACTAGGTCGCGGGCTTCGGCTTCTTTTGCCGCAGCAACCACGAAAAGAGGTCGGAGGTCTTGTACGCAGATGACCAAATCTGATGGCCCAAAGCCTGCACCATCTGAAAAAATTCAGCATTGCATACCGTTTCATTTCTCGTCTGTGATGAAGAGAAGAGTCAGTGTCCAAGCAGCTCCTCTCTGCTAACAATTTCAAAGCTTCCTGATGTAAGCGCAGAAGGAAGCGGCGTATAGGATCCAAGTTGCAGATGCTATCTCCTCTGCAATTCGGCAGTACAGTGTTGTAGAGTTTGGATGCATCGAATTCCTGAGTCCCCTTGGTAGAATCGCTCTTGCATGCGCACTCTTCTAGGTGCGACCCCTCTTCCACAAATACTCGGGGTGATTCCTTGAAAGCCCTCTCAAGCTGCCGAAAAAAGTGCTGAAATAATGTAGACCCCTGATTAATAAACACTGGGGTTATATTGGGATAGTGAAAAGTAAAATGGAAACTACTATAATGGGTTTAGTGTTTAGACCCCTGATTAATAAACCCCCTCCCATTCATTGGAGTTATAAGTTATAATAGGGATCCTAATAGCCCTTAAAAGGACGAGGTTTATTCATCAGGGGTCTACATTACCCCAATATTTTTACCCTACATAATATAGTAGTTTCCATTTTATTGTCCATTATCCCTATATAACCCTAAACCCTAAACCCTAAACCCCTAAACCCTAAACCCCTAAACCCTAAACCCATAAAGACAAAGAGAGAGTGACCTGCGTATGCCTGGCCTCGTAGGTTGTGATTCTCAGCTTCGCTTTGCTGCGGACCTGCCAATCATAATATAGGGTTTAGGGTTTAGGTTTAGGGTTTGGGGGGGGTTATATAGGGGTTAGATTGGAAACTACTTTATTATATTGAGGTTATAAAAGGATAATGGAAATGAAAATGGAAAGTATAGTAGATTCGGGTTATATAGGGAAGCTATAGGGGGTTTAACCTTGATAGAGGTTATAATATAGGGGTTGTAATATTGGGGGTTTTGTAGGGGTTATAATATAAGTCTTATTAAACCTCAAAACCCCGGCAAATCGTGGCACCACAAAAATCTGCCCCCCTTCAGACTTATTTGTAATTTCAAGGTTTAGGGTTCCCAGAATAGGGGGACCCCCAAAATGGTGCCCCTAATTTTGGGAAAGCCCAATTTATGTCTCACGGGGGCCTTGCCGCCCAGCGCCTGCCACAACAACATGGAACCATCGGGATCCACTGTGCGATCCTGGCATGCCAAGAGCACTGGATAGCATCAGATAGTGTAATGCAGTATAATAGAGTAAAATATAGTATAATAGAGAAAAATATAATACAATATGGTGTAATATAATGATATGATAGAGTAAAATAGAGTATAGTATAATATAGTAGATGTTCCAAACACTACCAGCCTTCATCCCGTGGAAAAGCCAAACAGGGAGCTCACCTGACCGGCGAATGTAGCATCCTGTGCATGTTTATCGCAACTCTGTGCCCCTGAACCTTAAACTCTAAACCTGCCGAGTAGCTGATGTTGCTGACATCCTCCTTTTTCGGAGCAACTTTGGCAAGTTGTAACAGAGAGTTCAGACTCGTGTCCAACCTGTGGTCGCATGAAGATTCAAGCTGATCAACCATGCAGAACGAACTCAACGCACTGAGATGCTATATCATACTATAATATACTATAATATACTATATTATACTCTATACTCTAGTATACTATATTATACTCTATGTATTATACTACATTCTGAGGCTCGGGCGGCAAGGGCTTGGTAAAGCCTCCACAAACTGCTATCCTTTGTGGCGCTTCGCGCAACTGTCTGATAGCGGTCGACACAGACACGATCTATAGCACACACAATCACATGTTGACTTCACGCCTTTGATCAAACCTTGTTCCTCGCTTCCCATGCTCAGCTCGGAACTTTTCAACGAACACCACACTGGACATGTCTGATTGTACCGAATCGGGAGGGCGACAATGACACAGGGCCGTCCTTCCCATTCTCATGATCCTTGTCTTACCCCCACTGCTGTAATCACACTCCAGCTACTCCCGGGCTACAATAGGAGAGCCAAAGGCAGGTTTCAACCTGCCCCTTTGCACTCTCATTGGCCCACACTGAACAAACTTCTGCTTCATTTAAGTGCGCGTGTCCAGCACAGACTTAACCTTGAGGGCATCAGCTGGAAGTGTAAGGGCGCAGTACATTGACTACGAATAGAACGAGCCACAACATTCGCTCTGTTGAGATACCTCTTGCTAAACCTTGCACAGTTGTTTGGCGGATCTTTGCAATGGCTGTTGCTGGGCACACACTATAATATATACTATAATACATACTACAATATACTATAATACATACTATAATATACTACAATACATACTATAATATACCATGATATAAATGTATACTATAACCTACTAGACTATATTCTGCTTCCTCCTGCTGCACGCCGTGCTGCAGTGCCGCAAAGAGATCGGGCGCGGCCGCTGCCGCGGCAAAGGCGCCAAAGCCACCCATGCTGAGACCAGTAATGTAGATCCTCAACTGTTCAGGTAAGATTCAAAGAGGTAGGGTTTAAGGATTTAGGGCTTAAGGTTTAGGGTTCAAGGTTTAGGGTTTAGGGTACTGTTACTGCCCCCCACCCTGTAACAGCCTATATTAGGGGTCCTCAACTTCTTCGGGCTTCAGAGGAAATTGAGTCTCCAGCCCAAAATGATCGTCAGCACCCAGGTGCGCTGTGTCGTATGGAAACATGCAGTGTTACAGCCCGTGCCAAAAAAGGCGCATTCCGCTTTAGATGTCGCATCACATGCGTAAGAAGCATGCGCATGAAAGTCATGCGAGATGGCCGCGCATGGGCGTAGGAAAGGCCTAAGAAATCCCTGGCAGGCTTTTCTGAAAGGCCTGATGCTACTGTCTGTGCTCAGGGGGTGCTGCACACGAGGCAGCAACACCTTCCTTGTGACCGAACATGATCGTGCATATTCCCCCCATACGGAGCCTGCCTGCTCGGATCCAATGAAAACTCGTCACGCACCTTTGAGGGGAGGCCACAATCGACCCTCATCCACAGTCGCGTTGAACCGCCCGCAGACTAGATACTATTTTGAACCTACAGCTGACACAGCAACGGATTCTTTCGTTTTTCTGCTGGCTGCGAACCTGCTTTGTGAGTGCCACCACGCGGTCTGCAATGGCGGGCCACACGACATCCTGACCATCCAAAGGTTGCGTAAAGGGGGGGGCCCTTTTCAATCCTAGGTTCTTGGAGATCTTCGCCTCCAAGTCCAAAGGTTGATGTGACACAGTGGGCGCATGGAAGGTGAGAAGAAGCAAGCGGTGCGAATACAGGTCTGGCCTCTGGACACTGTGGGGCAACGAGGAACAGCCGCTTGACAGCTGCTTGTGTCCAGGGCCCATTGTTGCGCACCTGGTCCATGTCTGAGGATCTAGCACAAACACAGTGTTATGATACTTGGTAGGGGCCTTTTGAACCCAGACATCTACACGAAGGACGACTTCCTGTACGGGTGTGATGAGGTCTGCGAGGGGACTGAGAGCCTGTCAATCAATTCAGCCTGGAGCACTTCTGCATGTTTGTCACGCTGCGCATGCTGCAGAGCTACATTCTGCTGCCTGGGCAACTGTCCTTCTGCAGTACTTAGAATGCGAGTGTGCGAACATCAAGACCAGCACCTCAGGCATTTCCATACCCTTCGTTCGCACCTTGCCAAGGTCTCGTCCATCTTCATGACCACCTGAAGATATCTCTCACATTCGCCACTATCACTACTATCACTGTTTCTCGCAAGCAGGTTCGTTGCATTGCGGTCTTCGTTGCACCAATATAACCCAATGTACTACAGTAGTTTCCATTTTCTTTTCCATTATCCCTATATAACCCCAATATAACTATAACCCAGCAGCCTTACAGCTCTGCCTCCTCCGGCTACTAGGCCATGATTTAGTCGAAGCTGGCCACGGCCACTGATTCTGTAGATTCTGCCTTTCCGTTACTCCTTGTGGAGGGGTTTAGTCCTGAAGAACATTGGGATTCCTTTCCTCAGCCTCAGACCGGCATACGTGTCACACTAGATTTGACTAGAGTACTATGAGCCTTCGCCGAAAGGCATCCCATCGCTTTTGGGCTCTGTTGCGTCATGTGAAGAAGTGCATCTAGTTTAACTGTTTGACTCCAACTGAACCAGGTACGCTCTACACAACTCGTTGGGGTGGATAAATTACAAGTCTTCACGGCAGTCTTGTTTTGAATCCTCATTCAAGACGCAAAGGTTCGAAGGTTGCCCTATAGTGTCGCACGGAGGCGTTTGAAAGAAGCTTTGCGGCTCAACGCTTTCTAAAGGTGTGCTTTTTAGTCCCCCTTAAGTAGATAGAATACGGCTTTGGGTATACTATAATAAGATCCCCGCATACCTCATATTCTATCTACTTGAAGGGGACTATACATTTCTGGGTGTTGATGTCCATGGGGAGATCTCACGGCGTACGCCCAGTTGCTGCGCAACAGTGCTGCAGGCTTTGCATGTGCACAGAATGCCACAAGAGTGCCATGGTGTCGTGTGCGGGCAAACCCTGGAACCATGCATGTGCACGAACAGGCCGTGGTAAGCCCCTTTACCAGGCAATGTCCCTTGTCCCGCAACAAGGGCTAGAGCACTGAGCCCTAAGCGTTTGCCTATGAAGTGGCATGCAGTGTCGCCGACTCTGCTGCGGTCTGGGGTGCCAGGTTACTTGTTATGCGGTTTCAGGTGTCCGTGAAGGCGATGCCAGACACTTAGACTGAATGATGCTGATGATGCAGGCGGTTTGGCAGGCCTTGGGGCCAGAATCGCCTCCTGCGCTACATCGCCACAAGGTACGTATGAGGCTTGAAGGTTCTACATTCTACATCAAAAGTGTAGTAAGATGTCGTTTCATACATTTCGTGCTGGTTCCTGTGGCGGGGTTTTAAATTGACTCGCACAAACGTTGGCGTTGAGGCCCCAAGCTTGGCTCATGGCATCTTGCCTCCACAGGATGAAAACATGTCAAACCTCGTGGCAGGCCCCTGTGGTCGACAGCCAAGGGGATCATGGAGTTTCAATGCTTAGCGGAGGCCACCCCCTAGGGGCGTTTCGAGTTTCCAACCATAAATGCAGAATGTGGTTTTGGCCGGCGCAGGCTTCACGTTTCTTCTGGGATGGAGGGCGTCCGCAATTTGACCTGCCCACAATGGGAACCGGCGGTGGTCTGTTGCGACGTGCATACTCCTTGGCAGTAGACCTCTGTCATGTGCGAAGAGCTGTAAGTTCAAGTTTGAGCTATAATGTACTATAATATACCATAATATACTAAAATGTGCTATAATATACTATAGTATACTATAATATACTATGATGTACTATAATATACCATACTATATAGTAAACAAAACTTTGTCATGCCCACCAAAAGCCTAAGCTTTCATCTCGAGCTCCGGAGCGCTGAAGTGCAAAACAGCCAGGCTTGCGCTAAACCGCTGTCTGGCACAAGCTGTCCCATTGCAGCTCCTAAACCCTAAACCCTAAATGGTAGTTTCCAATCTCTTTTGCATTATCCCAATATAATTCCAATATAACCCTTAGATAACCCCTAGAATCCGTATAGTTTCCAATTTATTTTCCTTGTTATTATAGTAGTTTCCAGTCCCTTTTCCATTATCCTGCACCCATCCAAGCTTGATATCGGCCAGGGCACGCTCTCCAGCACCGTGCAGGAAAACCAGCAAAGGCCACGGCTGCCGCACCGAGGAGTCTGGAGTCTTTGCCAGATACCTTAGATGCTCTGGGTTCTGAATGGAACTTATGCTAATCATCAATTGTGGTACTTTCCCAAAATAGGGGAACCCAATATAACCCCAAAATACTATAATCCTTATTATGGGGACCCACAAAAAGGTATCCCTAATTTTGGGAAACCCTAAACCCTAAACAGTAGCTTCCATTTTCTTTTCCATTACCCCTAAACCCTAAACCCTAAACCCTTGTGAACCCCCCAACATTGGGTACCCCTAATTTTGG